CATTATGTATATTATTATTATATCATTATGTTTATATATATATAATCTACTAATCTAATAAATAACGTAGACTCTGGCTAAACTTCAATTGCAAATATTCGGCGATCGCGATCTTAATTTTCCCGGAGTTTCGAACGAGAGAATTGTATTGTACATTTTTATCTTGTTCTGGAAAAAGAGGATGTACTGTCCCTTGTGGACTACACCAGCTGTGTTTACTCAGGTTACAGTCAAGTACACTAGACAAATATTCGAACACGATTTCCTCGAGAACGAGTGCTGGAATGGAAGAAGTTCATTCGACACTTCAAACTTCTTTTTCTCCCATAAAATCATTTCTTCGCCGTAATTGATCTTCGCTATAATTGTTCGTGTATCCTGATTTGTATTGCAAACAACTTTAACTTTAATCACTAAAGATTTATTTTTACAAACCGTGAGAAAAATAACCTCATATTTACTCTCTAAACTGTAAATAACGATTAGAAATAAAGAAGTATAATTTGATTAAACAAATTACAGAAACGTATTCACCAAAGTTTCGATCGTTGTAAACTTTCGTTCTGTTGCATAAGTACAAAAATTGATCTATTCGATAAATTCCAAATAAACATAATTAAAAGTAACGTTTAATGATTCTGAAATTAATGAATGACTCGCAGTGGATGAATCCTGAATCGAAGAAGATCAAGGATATTTAAGAGAGAATATTCGGTCGAAAGTAATGGCGTCACACTGGGCGCCCTTTGTTTCCAGCGGAGAAGACGTTTCTAGGACGGAAGGTTAAAGAGAAAACACCTCGGTCTATAAAATCGTGAAATTTACTTACTTTCCTCCTTGACGCCGCGCGGCTGCGGACACTGGAGTGATTCGTGTTCCGTTCTGCCGAACGACGCGCTGAAAATGGCGACTCTTTGTCCGGGATAGCAGACAAGATTGATCACGTCATTCTCGCAGGCAACCTTACTCCTGAACTCATCTGGAACGAGGAGGAAATCTTTCATAAATTTTCGCCGTTCCCTTTTTCTTTTATTTTTTTTACTTTTACCGCCGCGTTAAACGTAATTACGTCTTCGAGTTTCGACTGTAACGACGACTACGACTCGTTTTTTCCATTAGCGTCACCGATTCGTCAAGTAGAATCGCGGTCGATCGCGAAGTATTCGACAGTCGTAGTCAATACTTGGCTCGGCCTGGAAATTCTGTTTGCCGAACGATACCACGCAAACGGAATTTACTAGCGAATTTAAATCACGGCGAGAACGGACCGTCTAATGAACGAACTCGGATCGGTTCGCGAGATGTGGGAAATCTTGGGAAGCTTGGAAAATCTTGGGAATAATTGTATCCAAAAATACGATTTCTTTTACAGGACCTTGTAGATGATAGGTTGTTCTAAATTATGGGTTATTAATCAGTTAATAATATTATATTTTTTAATTAGATTAGTTGATTTAAATTATATTTAATAATTAGATTAGTTAATTTAAATTATATTTATTAATCATACTAGTTAATTTAAATTATATTTATTAATTATATTAGTCAATTTAAATTGTATATTTAATAATTATATTTATTAATTATGTTAGTTCATTGTATTACAGTTAATGAGTTATTATAGTTGATATGGTTAAAATCATGATTAAAAAAAAAGGAGATCTCTTAAAAATAGAAGTAAAATAGAGTAACATATCAATGTAATTATAATTATAACAGCGGAAGTAACATTTGTTTACCACCACGAGTATTGTTTTCTGAGCACATCGATTGTTAGATAATTTATAGTGAAATTCATTTGATTATATCATTTATTTCACGCGTTTCTTTTTCGTAACATTTTGATATTTATACAAAGATAGCGTTTTTTAGACTTAAGTCAAAACTTTCGAAAATATGGCTCACGCCACTATGATTCTAATTCACTCGTATCCTAGTGAATATTGACTATAATTATTACTAAACTGAGGGTGGTACGCGTTTTCGTAACAAAAATTAATACGTAAAACACAAAACTGTATTAAATCTATCAGATCTAATTCCATTTTTATCAGATTTAATTCTACCCAATCTATCACATCTAATTCCATTAAATCTATCAGATCCAATTTTATTAAATCAATTAGATCAAATTGTATTAGAACCAACATAATTTTCAACGAAAATTGCTAATCAAACATTTACATCCATCTACTTTCTGCAAATAACTAGCGCACAATTTCCGAGATCGCGTATAAAATATACAAAAATCGTGCTGTCCGTCGCGTGAAAAATAAATGCAAACGATTGACGGTTCCCGTTTGTTTAATAAAGTACATTCCTGGCGGAATTGGTCGAACGAGTTCGAGCGGCATCAATTCGGAAACAGACGCGGTCACGTTCCGTGGGAATGTCTTCGTCGGAGTAAAATGGTCTCGTTACTGTTCACGGTGACCAGGAGTTTCAACGAACCTAACTGAATCGGGCGTCCCTACCAGATGCCGATAATGCGTTTTTGCGATCGGGATCGTCGTGTCCTCGCATCGCGATTCTTGCCGCGGCAGCGATGGCCGCCGGCATTCCTCGGATTTTCACCTGTTCTTGCCGGAGGTCGACGCACGGGTTACACATTCAACTAAATTCCGCCACGAAATACAGGTTCCGAACGGTATCGGGAACCTCGCGGCACGTCATTCTACCGACGGATTAAATTTATCGCGCATTGTGTATCGTAAATGCGCAGCTCCGAGCGCTGCGCCCGCGAGCTCGCCGGATCGCAGATTCTACGCGCTCGCGTCGCCAAAAAACGTGGCTCGCGAACCGGCGAATTCGCTTTTTCGATGTCTGCCGTTTCATTCTCCATCGATTATTCTCACTTAAAAGCAACAACCCAATTGAATGATAGCTAGGCGTTAAATAAAATAACTATTGACTGAAACTTCATTTTTTTGGATCGCAGATTGTACGCATCGCGTCGCCTGTTTGCAAAAAACGTGGCTCGCGAACCGGCGAAATCGCTTTTTCGATGTCTGTCGTTTCAATTTCCATCGTCTCTTCGTGAAGGAATTTTGATTTCGCTCACTTAAAAGCAACAACCTAATTGAATGATAGCTAGGTGTTAAATAAAATAACCATCGACTGAAACTTCATTTTTTTGGATCGCAGATTCTACGTATCGCATCGCCTGTTCGCAAAAAACGTGGCTCGCGAACCGGCGAATTCACTTTTCGACGTCTGTCGTTTCATTTTCCATCGACTCTTCGCGAATGAATTTTGATTTCGCTCACTTAAAAGCAACAACCTAATTGAATGATAGCTAGGTGTTAAATAAAATAACCGTCGACTGAAACTTCATTTTTTTTGGATCGCAGATTCTACGCGCTCGCGTCGCCAAAAAACGTGGCTCGCGAACCGGCGAATTCGCTTTTTCGATGTCTGCCGTTTCATTCTCCATCGATTATTCTCACTTAAAAGCAACAACCCAATTGAATGATAGCTAGGTGTTAAATAAAATAACCGTCGACTGAAACTTCATTCTTTTTGGATCGCAGATTCTACGCGCTCATGTCACCTGTTCGCAAAAACGTGGCTCGCGAACCGGCGAATTCATTTTTTCGATGTCTGTCGTTTCATTCTCCATCGATTATTCGCGAAGGAATTTTGATTCCGCTTACTTAAAAGCAACAACCTAATTAAATGATAGCTAGATGTTAAATAAAATAACTATTGACTGAAACTTCATTTTTTTGGATCGCAGATTCTACAGGTCGCGTCGTCTATGCGCAAAAAACGTGGCTCGCGAATCGACGAATTCACTTTTCGATGTCTGCCGTTTCATTTTCCATCGACTCTTCGCGAATGAATTTTGATTTCGCTCACTTAAAAGCAACAACCTAATTGAATGATAGCTAGGTGTTAAATAAAATAACCATCGACTGAAACTTCATTTTTTTGGATCGCAGATTCTACGCATCGCATCGCCTCTTCATTTTACATCGACTCTTCGCGAATGAATTTTGATTCCGCTCTCTTGAAAGCCACGCAATTAATAGAACCGAATGAAAACTAAGTGTCATAGAATTACCAACGATCGAAACTTCATTCGTGTAACAATTTAACCCGCCGCGTTATACCCATGTGCGATGAACGGAATTATGCGTGCACAGATTTTAAAATGGACGCTATTCTATTACATTTCTCAAATTCTATCGAGATCCGCAAAACGTAAGAACGTTAAAATAACAATTCATGCCGTACAATTTCGTTTTTCAATTTAAATTTGATTCTATCAGATACGTTGATTTCATTAAAATAATTAAAAGCGACTGACGCGTGACGCTTTATAAGCTATAATTTATCATTATTTATTTATTTATTTATTTATTGTAAGTATAATTTATCAGAACTTGTTAGAAATGTCTCGTTAAAAATTGTTTCTTAGGAAATATTCTTCACGGTTCCGACGGTTTGATAATAAAAAATGTAAGACCGGTCATTTTGACCGACACAAGGTACGCGAACGTATTACTGCGGACGCTCCAAATACTGCGGTATTTTATAAAAGCAATAAAATCTAACAGTTTTAACAAATCGAATGCTTCGCGAGGCGCGTTGATCGGAAACTTCGCAAACCGATGCGACAATTTATGGCAACGAGTATAAAAATCTGCCTCGACGTCGTCGAATCGCTATCATGAGCAGTAATTACAGCGAGTTCGGTTAACTATCGAGGACGATGATACGGTGAAATAATAAGGCGGATAAATCGCGTGTATAATCTGGAAAAATAGAGCCACGCGGTTCGGTGTGGATTTTCGATAAAGCGTGTAATTGAATCATAAATAAGATGATTATCTCGGCTGCTCGAAATGCAAAACGTTTTCCTGCGTACGGTGTTTGACAAAACTCCGCATTCTGCATACTGATCGTTAGTTACGTATTCTGGCCGCATCCGCCACTAGCCACTGTATCGAGATTACGATAAGAGTCCATAAATTTCCTGCACAAAGTACGTAGTAGCTTGCGTCATTAATTACGGTGTCAAAAATCTGTCACAGTCGCTACATTTTAAGCGGCTTATATCGCTACTATTTCTTCCTTTTGCATATTTGCCGCGCCGGATCCGATAATGCGATCCGAAAAACCGGCGGATGCGTTAAATAAAATCTGCTTTCCAACCTTATTAACCTGCAAATTACAAATTATTAGGGTAATCCGTTTTTCTTTCAATGAAATCAACAATATCGCGTATTCTTCAACGCTTCGCTGCCGATTGGTGAAGCGACACTAAAAATTGCTATGCTATTTTTCTTTTCTTTTCATAAGAATAGCAATCGACCAATCGTATAATAAAAAAATCGTATAAATAAAGTTAATAGCATAATAGCATAATAGCATAATGAGACGAAGATCGATGTTCCCGCTAGCATACATTTCAATCATTCGATACGATGTTCAATTATACTATAAAAAGAATTCGAACCTGTTTTCTTATAAAAGAGTTCTATTTTTTTAACAATTTATGGAACCCAAATTTTAATAATGTGAATATACTTAGAAATATGTTAGAGTTACGATGTTAACGTGACGGTGTGTTTTCACGTGTATAAAATTTATAATTATACTATAATTATAATAATTATATATTTAAAAGTATATTCACATTATTAAAATTTGGGTTCCATAAATTCTTAAAAAAATAGAACTCTTTTATAAGCAAGCAGGTTCGAATTTTCTACGAATCGAATAAATACCATCACACTAAATGGAAATACTGTAGCTCGAAGCAAAGGGTTAAGCATTATCTCGACATATTTTTATATTTCTAATGTTACGAAAGGTGCGCTGTTGCACTGTGGTTTCGGCGAAGAAGAATCTTGCAAATTTGTGAAACACGGTAGAATCGATCGAAACGCGGGTGCAAAGAATTCCGAAAACTCGGATTCTCGTCGGCCAGCGTTATTATCTTCCGGCATCTCGAGCCGGCCGTGCAATTTCCAT